CCAAACTAATAGTCATGGAAATAAAAATGCTAGAAAGTTAATTTTCGTGTTCGGTTACATGTGTGAGTCACTGTATATATACCATTTGATTTGTCTAATCAAGGCGAATCGAATGGTATTTTTTTTTATTTGAATCGGATCACTGAAGATCGAGATATCGCATCCTAAGTTGGCTGATTCATTTTTGTTATATATAGTCAAAAAAAATGAATCTGCTATTTTAGGACACAATATTTCGACGTTCAGTGATCCGATTTGAACAAAAATATTACCATTTGATTCATTTCGTCCAGACGAATTGAATGGTAATATTTTTGTTCAAATCGGATCACTGGATGTCAATAATTAGATTATTGGATATTGAGATGTGTGTTATGAAATAACTGGAACATGAACATACAATCCCGATATAGAAGCTCTGCCAATCTATAAAAGACATCATAATCAGCGTTTGTAATGTTCTTTGCATCCGGAAAATTTCATAACATTACACATAAATTTCGGAAGGTTATTGGGGGATCAGTTACTTATGGTTTTGACTGTACTAATTTATTCATTAATTTAGATTTATCAACTAAGTCTTTTACCTTGGATTTCGAGCTATTTTTCCACTATACGAACATATCAAGCATTATATAGAAAGCAAGCAAATATAATTTTTTTCCATAGATCTTATTGTACTAAATACATTCGATAAGTAATTATTCATATGCAGTTTAATATCTTTTATTATTTTCTATGTAATAAAAAACTACAAAATTAAAAATTAAAAACTAAAAAAAGAAAAGAAAAGAAAAAGAAAAGAAAAAGAAAAAGAAAAGAAAAGAAAAAAAAAGAAAAAATTCGATTGTTAAATATATTTTACCACATTTCTAGTACAATCACTCTCCAAAAGTCACACTGCTTCTGGGTCACTAAAAACTGACTAAAATAAAATGCAAATAAAAAACTAAAAAACTAAAAAAAAAAGAAAGACGAAAATCAAACGTCAAATACAGTTTACCTCAGATAAAAAATGGTGAGGGTGATTAATTTTTACAAATAAATAGTAAATTACATCGGAAGTATATAGAGAACTTAATCAGTGAGGTATTTGGGAAAGATACAGTCGTAAAGCTTAAAAAGGGTTATGGATCGAGATATTCCTATCAGTTTAAAATGCTTAAATAGAATAGTGATGAATATCATATCATAAAAGCTTAGTAGTTTTGTGTGAATAAAGCTTCTTAAGTAAGCAACTTATAATTGTCAACTGTATCGTTTCATAACGTTGTGGATTGAAGTTTGGTTTGGGTAAACTGTAACTCCGTCTGGCATCTTTAACCACAAATAAATTATTCGCGACTTCGGTGATCAGTAAATTTTTTCCACTTTGCTCTTTCAGATAATTTTGGAGATTATACTGTATCACTTATAAATCTTGTGTCAGCAAGCGTATATAGTCGACATTATCGCGTATTTGAAGCCACCTAGATGATAAAAATATAAGAAAATATTGTTCAATTTGTCAGTGTTCAAGCAACTGATTTTAAACTATACGGAAACTTTCGTACCGCGCATAACATCTCTTTCCATCTTTGCCATTTTTCAACAGCCTCGCTATTCGTGTCCATTTTATTGTTCTTGTATTCTCATGCATGAGATAGTAAAGTTTTTTGTCCTCCTAAAATTCATTTCATATAATGAATATTTCAAGTATGAAACCTAAAGAAATCAAATAATAATTATTACCCCTCTTGTCCACCGACATAGCATTTTGCGAAAAGTTGTTTAAAAGATTATAAGAGATTGCTTTTGAAGTTTAGACCAGCTCCATCTCTTTTATACACAATCTATCGTTATACTTTCAAATTAGATCGGCATCTTGCAAAGATAATTAACAGTGGTTATTTCCACACGAAACTTATTTCTATCTCCTTGGCATATATGCTCGTTTTAAAGACAACGAGCATAACTAGAAATATTTGATAAATTCTTTTTTTAAATGAGTTTGTGTAATATTTACAGGGCTTGCTCGACGCTGTAATATATCGATGTTCTTTGATTAAAAATCGTATTCTGCATGTGCATTTATTTTGTTTGCGTTCGTGTTCTATGTTTCTCTTTGTTCTATAAAAAAATTTATTTTATTTAATACAGAAAATATTACAGGAGCTACTTCAATGAAATAATAGTTTGCTAAACACAGAATACGTAATTATTAACTTTCACTATTACTCCTAAAGGTGCCATTTTTATTACTGGTTATTCATTTTTTTTTTTAAACAAAAGTAAACCCTTGATTGACTTGATTAAGCCAGTACTCTTCCTTTGTTAGTGAACAAATTTATCCGATAAAGTACACGGAAATCAAAGTTTGCACAAATGAAATGACACATGTATAGTTATCTCAATATGCATGTTAAGTTTCTTTAATAAGTGCTTCTTTTAAGGTGAATAAATAGCGATGATATTATTTCTTCTAAAATCCACAGCATGCTCATTGTTGTTGAGTTTCTTAACTTTTTAATTGATTTGAATTGAATAAAAAAGATGCATTGAAGGAATCAATTGGTTGTTTGCTAAATAATGTGCATTAATAAATTGGTTGCTGAAAATAATGGACAAGAGTTCTGAATAAATAATAAGAAACGGATTTTTGATTTTGTACGATAATTGCTAGTTTTAAAATAGTAAATATTGAAGTTAATAATCTATTTTTAGCGTTAACGTTAATAGATTATTCCTGATTTAGCAATCACAATCTAAATGCAGGGTTCTTATTGACAAACTTCCTTTTTCATTCAACAACACAATTTTGATATCGATGTGTATATCATTAAAATAATTACGAGATTTTCACCTGGAATAAAACGGAAAAAACTGTAACTTCCCTGTTATCCTGGTTTGAGCGATAATATTAGTTTTGGTAAAACATAAGGGTAAGCGCAGTAATGTCTAAAAATAGAAAATCATATACTGCATTTCAAGGAACACAAAATTCAGCACAACATAAAAATGAAATTAAATGTAACAACTAAATATGTATGTACATGTACATTACAAACAAAAAAAAACAACGCAAAATTACAAGGAAATAAATTATATGGCGAAAGACAATTTGAAGCAAAAATATGTGTAATATTCAATAATTTCCCGTGTATATAAAATTAAAAATAGGAAGTATCAATAGGATAAAAGTCTGAGCAAAAAATACGAGTGAACTCAATCAGGTAAAAGATATTATCAAAGTAATTGTAATTTTCTTCAAACTAAAGGAACAAATTGCAAATTAAATCATATATAAGCTAAGGTTCAATAGAGTCTATAGAGTTTAGATAAATTATGAGAAATAGAGAAAGTGATAATATTCTATCAATAATTTTATAATAGTTGTACACAAGAATTCCCTATAATATCGGTACGCAAACTAAATCTTTTGATATCTGTTCATTTGATATGGATATAAAAACAAAAAATATTAATTTACATGTATAATGTACGTATTCATTTGCCACGATTGCCACAATGTATTGACGTATTTTTTGTTTTTCATTGCTATAGAGATAGTAGCCCTTAGGAAAAAAAATTTTACAAAATTATTGATTAATTCTGTATACAATCTCTGATTCATTTGGAACGAATTCCAGATAATGAGTACATGTACATAATGGATGCATCAAGAATTACGTAGTGAGAAACACGTACGGAATTCGATGTACAAATACATGTACATGTACTTGCATACGGACACATACGGAAAATTCCAGACACACTTTTTGCATAGGGTAGCAATATTCGTGTAATGTTTTACGGATATTTCAGTCACAATTATAGATATACTACGTACGTATATCCATGTAAATGTATAACCAAATTTATGCAAAAAAATGAGTTTACTATTTCAAGCTCGAAGCAAAAATGAATTTCTAGCCCTGTTCAAAAGGGACTAAGATCATTACACATCTTCTCCTTCTAAATATTTAGGTAGATTTCGGAATTTCGGTGAAAATCGACGTAGATTCTATTGGTTGAAAATGCCCTATTTCCAAATTTTTAATCAGTAATGATTGTTCCAAAACAAAGATTAAATAATGACTAGTTTATTTTATGAGTATGGTGCATAACATCTAAAGTCATCAAACGTTTGTATTTTATAAAATGTATAAACATCTTTACTATAAAGTAAATATAAAATTTAATCCGTGAATATGATAGAATTGGCCCTTTCTGAGCATATTCACGGATTAAATTTGGTGTTTACTTCTTAGTAAAGAAGTTTA